TATATGATGCTATGACCAAATCATCTGAGTCCAGTACATCCGAGTCGAGTTCAGCTGAAGAAGCTTATACAATAGAGGAGGAACCTAGGGAATCAGTTTTTATGCCACTTAACAAAGTAAAATATGTGAAGAAAAGATCTGGTAATAAGAAGGTAAAATGTAAAAGATATCCATCCCGTTCTGTTAACGTTAAATCAACTAATTATTGAATCAGCCAAATTATCTAGTAATGGGTAGAAAATCAAAGAATAATCATTGTAAGTCAATAGGAAAATTCACTACTAGCCCTACACAGTATTTGCCATTATGTAATTTAATCAAATATGAGCATACATTAATATTATTTTTACAATTAAGGATATAGGCTTCTATAACAAAGTATGGGTGATTGGTATAATTCCATTGAAATTTACATACTAATTTTTTATTTCTCGAGAGTATATGCATATTAATATAGGGTAATTTAGAAAATCTGGATCAGCTAATTATTGGGCAATATGATTTCCAGTGAAGATCCAGAGACTTTCATATTTTGCGACGATCGTAGCCTTAAGTGGGAGTATAGTAGTCTTTTTTTTTATTGATTTGCAAGGGCTTGATCCTAAAGGGACCGCTAATGAATGATACCATGCTGTGTGTAATTGCTAATGAAAATCTGGTAATATATTTCTCATACGACCCTATAAAACAAGCGAGAAATATTGTCTTTTTTCAGAAAACGTTACCATGAAAAATCAAGAGAGCGTAAACCTGACTTCTACTGAGAAGGATAATGACTTGGGCGACCTAATTTATTATGATGATGATGATAATGATGGGAGAAAAAGTAAGATTCTGAAACCTTTCATCTCGTCTCTTATTAATCATAGAAACATAGCTTATAATATCCTGAAGTATCTTGAGGATGATACGGTCAAGGATAAAGAAATCCAGAAGCTTGGGCAATGCACCGAGTATACGAACAATATTTTGTCATCACCAATCAAAGCACTTACCATCCTCACCTGCGGGCATATTTTTCACAAACTATATATTGAGAAGCAACTTTTACATATCAAACCCAGCACATGTTCATTTCCCAATTGTGGAAAGAATGTCGATATTATTGTGGACCCAAATTCTATTAGAAAAGGCCTATAGTTTTAGAGTCATTGAGATCGAAGAGATCTGGTCGCTCAGCCATATCTTTATAAATGTCTTCTGTTTCAACTTGAATTATGAAAGAGTCTGTATCCATATACCCGAGCTGGACTTTATCACCATATCGCTCCTTTATATAACTATACCAGAAGTGATACATGTGAAGCTTGCTAAGTCCCAAAATAGATGCTCTAACTATGATAGGTTTGTTGAGAGTCACGTTAGCTTTTCCCATATGCGCTCTTATTAATGTAGGTCCAATTGGTCTACCATACTTAAAATTAGGCTTGTGGACCTTTTTCCTGAATGCCTTTTCATCCCGCTCATTATTACATTTCATGAGTTTGACATCCTGATACTTGCGAACATTTTCCATAGTCTTGCTATATACAGAGTTGTTCATGAGCTTGAAGAAGTTTTTTTTAAAAGCATTCTTGACTCCTTGACGTTTCTCAGTATTAAATGCAATATATGATACGAGCCAGTTAGTCTGGTCAAAAGAGAGTATCTCTGAAACTTTATCTACAACCATACCTAATTTTACATAATATTGGAGCTCTTGGTAATGGATGACGTAGTTTTTTTGTGGTCCAAGATGGGGGACTAATTTTTCTGTGGCAGAAAAGCGTCTACCATCTAATTGTTCTACAAGTTTAACATTATAAGGACTTAGCCAATTCTTTTCTACAGCGATATTCTCTACTGCTGAAGGCAAATCTTTCAAATAATCGTGGGTCTTAAGAGGGAAATGAGCTTTAATGTTTAAGAAATATTTACGTGAAGCATTTGACTTAGTCTTAAGAATCTTTTTGAGATATTTCTTTTGCATAGCTGGATTCTTAAGTAAATACTCACGGCTAGCTTCCTATTAATAATTTCCAATAGGTAAGAACTGACTCATAGCCCATCCGTAAAGATTATTTGCATCAACATATGAGATCCAAGTTGTGGGTTGAGAGGGGTCATATGTCTCACCCATTTTTGGATTATTAGCCTTGAAATATCATTGACAGACCATAGATATTCCACCACGTTTAGCTTTTCAATGAAATCATGCATTGCCATATCTGTGAATAGCTCGATCTTAACTCCTGTTATCTTAAGCATAGCGTCCCATGATAATGATGGAGCAGAAACATAGTGACTGGGATCAAGCTCATAATATTGCAGACATGTCTCTCAAAACTTAATCCAGATATCTGCTAGACTAAGTACGTCAGTCTTAAGATAGAGATCATGATACTCACCTAGATTTTGGCATCCAAATTCCTTCCATACATTTTAGGCATGTTGGTAATCTTTTTGTGAGATCTTACCTTTAAGAGTACTATGAAATTCATGAATAGGAGGAAGTTCTATCTCCTTAAATCTATTATGCGAATCGATGTAGTCATAGGGATAAACTCCTTTGCGATATACTAATGCTAATTGTTTCTCTGTATAACCTAATTTTTTGAAATATTGGCTTGTTATTGGGTGGTCATCACCCAAATTTTTCGTAAGATTAGCTAAGCTATTATTCATGAACCGCATGCTATCAATATACTTAAGCTGGCTTACCTTCATAGACTTATATCGCTCAAATGTTTCAGCTATACCCTGGATCTGATACGCATTGACAGATTTTCCAACAGATTCATAGACCAAGTGAGAATCATACCCTCAGAAGTTATGAAAGACTACTGGGATTAGGGTTTTCCATGGCTCAATCTGGAGTTTGAGATTACAATCCCTATGAGCTAATCCACAAAACTTACCTGTGATATAACAGTGATCCTAAACCTTATTAGCCTTAGCTTTTTCACTAGCAATAGCTTTAGTTGCCTTTTCAATAGTTATTTGAATACCATTATATTCTGCTGACTCTTTTTTAAAGTTTTTTAGCTTCTCTTTAAGATAGGTTATTTTATTTTTAAGCGCTCGATTTCATATATATCTATATTGAACTTACCTTTGCAAATCTAACAGCTAACTGCTTTGGCAAATCTTTTCTTGTCCTCTTCAGTCACTTTTCGTTCATGTTTAATGACTAAAACATTATTTATTTTCACTAATTCCTGATCAATCCTTCGGACGAATTCTTGGGTTGTATTTTTTCCTCTGTATAGGAACAGATCCCATACATCTTCAGTATCAATCCAGTGGATTAGGTAGCAGAAACTATTAGCCTTCTGTTCAGCAAGTTTTCGCATGCTTTCACCATATGCTGGAAATGGTTTTGGTTTCATTATCCCTCTTGAATAGTCTCATTTTTTATTATCTGCCTCAAAGTCAGCTATAATTACAAATGGGGCATTAATCATTCGGTCATAGTTCTTGAATTGCTCAAAATCATTAACCCCTTTCACAGGCATTGCAACTCTCTGGGGAGCATTTTCATGTATTCCTAGACACCATTCTAGATGATGTTCTAGAACTTTTTCAGAGGGCCAGCTTAAGAAACATCCATCACATAGATGCTTCTTTTCTTTATGCGTACTATCTCTATATATTAATCTGCTAGGATTTTTGATTCAGAGAAAGTGATTCTTTTGTCCATACTTACCTTCCTCAGATTTGGTAATATCTGTAAGAGCCAATAACCGAATTTTATGCTTTCTTCTAAAGTTCTTACTAGCAATTACGGGCTTTGGAGAAGCTGTTTCTTCTTTCCACTCTCAGACATTGATAATTATATCTGGATTCATCTCCTCGATCTTATTAAAGATATGTGGACAAATAGGAGTAGGTATTGGAATTCTGTCTAACTTGACGACATCTAAATATGGCTTGAGTTTCTTTGCCTGAAAGATTCGTTCAAGATGTTCTATATCAGGCTGATCCTGATAAGCAAAGAACGCTCTCAATGCATCTTGAAGACATTTTTCTGAAGGTTTATTTGTTTCTGGATCAATAAGACCTTTATTATCCAGATTGATGGTAAATTTAGTATTAGCGAGCTTTTTGGGAGTGGGAATAAATGAACCTCCTGTACCCTGACGTAAAGTATATGCTTCACTAGATATTTCTAGAATTCGTTCAAAAACATATCCAGATCCCTTTTTTAATGTTTTTTCAATATGATTATCTATTTTTCCAGCAGATTTGGTTATATGCTCATCTATTTCCCCTTTTGAAAGAATTGATCGCATCCCCCCTCTATGTCTATTTTCTATATATGTTGTATCAGTTGTACCATCTGGATTTCTTTTAGTTATCGAATACAGGCACAATGCTACTATAGATGATTTTATTTGGTTTTTTCTATGAAGCTCTGTTTGAAGAACTTCTGTTATTTTTGGACGAATTAGTCCTATAAGTTGAAGCATGTATGGCAAATTTTTATTTCTCGAGAGTATATGCATATTAATATAGGGTAATTTAGAAAATCTGGATCAGCTAATTATTGGGCAATATGATTTCCAGTGAAGATCCAGAGACTTTCATATTTTGCGACGATCGTAGCCTTAAGTGGGAGTATAGTAGTCTTTTTTTTTATTGATTTGCAAGGGCTTGATCCTAAAGGGACCGCTAATGAATGATACCATGCTGTGTGTAATTGCTAATGAAAATCTGGTAATATATTTCTCATACGACCCTATAAAACAAGCGAGAAATATTGTCTTTTTTCAGAAAACGTTACCATGAAAAATCAAGAGAGCGTAAACCTGACTTCTACTGAGAAGGATAATGACTTGGGCGACCTAATTTATTATGATGATGATGATAATGATGGGAGAAAAAGTAAGATTCTGAAACCTTTCATCTCGTCTCTTATTAATCATAGAAACATAGCTTATAATATCCTGAAGTATCTTGAGGATGATACGGTCAAGGATAA